CTAGGATCAATGTAGTATCTGTGTACTGTGAAAAATTATATATATATATATATATATATATATATATATATATACACACACACATTTCATTGAAACTGACTGACAAGGTAATTCTGTTAAAAATCATTTAAATCAACATGAGGACATACCAACTTCAATATATAAAATACTTTTTAAAAATACAACTGTGTTAAAAAGTCTATAAATAATAAAAGCTCTTATCAGAAAAAAACAACTCTTAACAACAACTATGAACATGGCCATAATGTACTGACTGTGGTCAGGAATTAAAAACATGTCTACCTATCATCAATCTACACACTATTTGCAATAACACAACCAAATTCCTTGAAAAATTAGCCAAAAGCACTCAGAATGAAAAATCATCTAGACAATCTCTACATACACTATATTCACAAAAGAAATCTCTTGTTCACATAAAAAGCACAATAAAAAGCTTAACAGAAGTACTTGTCAGTCATTGGCATTGAAAAATTTATTAGAGAGATTACTGTCCAATTACAAAACTAAATGTATATGTGTTATAATGCCCTTCGTTGCACTCATAAGTAATGCTTTGGCAACTTGCTATGATGCCTTGTATGTTTCAGGTCTTTCATCGATGAACTTTTTTTCAATTGATTATGGTGCTTTTTATATTCAAATCTTTTCCCTTTTATCATGTAAATCAACTTCCCGATTCTTGCTGATATCATGCTGTCTTCCCACATTTCTTTCACCATCTTTATATACTCTAAATTTATCACCAACCTTGAAACTTTTGGTGTTGATTTTGTTACCCGTTTGTGTTTTTCGACTTGGTAATAACTATCAACTACCACAAGATAATGTGATCCATTCATAGGACCTGCAAAATCTATATGAAGTCTTGACCATGCCATGCCTGTCTTTGGCCAAGGTTCTATCTTTGTTATAGGTAGTTTTGCTGCCAGAGCACAACCTCTGCAAGCTTTCACTACTTTTTCAATATCTTGGTCCATTCTGGTCCAATATACAAACTTGTTATCAGAGATTTAATTCTTGAAATACCAGAATGTCCGCTATGAAAATCCTCCAGTATCCACTTCTGTAACAAACTAGGTATTTGTTGGAACATTACTACACCGTTGCATAGCTAGTAAGTGTTTAAGTCTGGATTTCTGCGGTCTGTTTGCAACCTAAAATTTATTCCATGAATAAATTTATGAAATTTCTTCACAGCAAATATAATTGTTAGAGCCTCTTTTTCTATTTGGCTGTAATTTTTCTCTGCTGATAGAAGTAAGCATGAAGCATGAGTGAAGGCTTTCATTTTACCACCATCGTATTTGTATAAAATCACTGCTCCAGTACCATATTCACTAGCATCTGACGTCACTACAATTTTTGCTTTTGGATCATAGTGTGCTAATGATAAATCTGATGCAAGTCTTTTTTTTTTTATTTCATCAAATACCTTTTGACAGTTATCATTCCAATTCCAGTGGAGCTCTCAAATTATTCATATTATGTACATATATTTGATAGTAATTAGCCAGTCCTAGAAAAGCTTGTAACGTAATCATATTTGTTGGTGGTGGCATATTTTTAATTGCACTTGCCCTTGATAGATCGTTTGACAACCTTTTTTTTTTTTTAACCATTTTTATCAATAATTTGACCAAGGCAAAAACAATTTGTATTTTTCTTCATTGAATTTAAATCCGTACTCTCTCAGTTTTTCCAAAATTGTTTTCCCATGCCCAACATTATTCTTTACACACACTTGATTATAAATGTCATCCAAATACACTACTGGGAAATCATAATCTACAAGCATGGCATCCATAGCTTGTTGAAAAATAGTTGGTGCCACCTTTAAGGAGGAGTTAAAATACTTGTTTCTATAAGAAATATAAGTTAAATGGCATTGAATTTTTTAATGACCACAATTATTGCAATTGTTTTGTATTTGCTCTAGTTTGTATGCACAAAAAAATGTATCTTTTAAAAGATTTTTTTTCATCAATCTCTAGGATTTTTCTAAATCAAAAAAATACATAAATACTGTATTTCCTCCAATAAGTGCCCCTACTGCCATCTAGAAGTAATTTTTAAACAAGTTTTCCCATCCTAAACAAGGCAATAAAGTTGCTAAGATGCAAGGGGTTATCAAGAAAGAAAAAAAACTGAAAACATTGAGGAGAGAAAGGACATTAAAAAGATCAGGATTCAAAGAGATGGATGATGATGATTGATGTTGCATTTAAATTTTTCAAAATAGTAACCGACAGGAAAGCAGGAAGCCAGAAGAAAGTTTCACATGTGAAAAGTGTGAGAAAAGAAACAATCAGCATAAAACTTACACTTAGCAATTTCAACAATAAAATTAAGAAACCTCACAGCAAATCTAGTACTGTGATTAAATTTGTTAAGATGACAGGACTGATGACATTGCAGATTCTTTGGATTCTTTCAAGAATTCCTCAATACATAGCAGAAGCAGCAGGCCAGATGTGGCAGCAATATTCAATGCATAAACAAATGGTAATCTTATAAAGATGCAAGATAGATTCTGGCGAGAAAAATTCTGACCAACTTTTCTAGCAGCAGAACAAGCAATTGATTCAATTGTTTTTTTCTTTATGCCAGTGAAAAACATTAAACCAAGAAGGTGCAATGAGTTACTCATCTGGAGGTTAGTATTAGCCATGATGATCGAAGGCAAAAAAAGGTTCTCTAATACAATTAAAGTAGAGCAGTTTTGTTCTGGAGGAATTAAAATTAACAACAGATTGAAGTTCATTTTTGAGATCAGCTGCCAATTTGACTTTGTTGAACCTATCAGACTTACCATTAAATCAAGATTAAATACTTATATCATCAACATAAATACCAAGTTGAAAACTGATGACATTGGGAATATCGTTGATAAATATTAGAAACACAGAAGGTCTAAGGATAGAGCCCTGGGAAGCATCTGTATTAATGCAAACTGCTATCTATTCGCTAAATCACTTTTACTCGGCCTATCTTTTCAAATGTTCATTGGTTTTCTTTTTAAATTTCATTGAATGCTCCTGCCATCAGTTTGAACAACAATCTACTGTTCTATTGTCTCATTTGACATTAAATGTGTCTGTTGCAAGCTTTTGTCACTAGTGTTTACACATCATAATATATTTTGAAGGGCTTGTACATCTTGGTAAAAAATGTTTTTTGCACTTGTTTAAAAATGTATTGTTTTTATTTTAGAAGAATTTGTAAAGGATAAACAGAAACATTACAAGTTATAAAACGATAAGAGTATCAATTACTTCAGATGCAAAGAATTTTTCTCTAAGTGCCAACTCCCACAAATAAGCACCATTCCTAAAAGTTCAATTTCTAAATTAACGACCAGGGTTCTTATTTAAGGAAATATAGTAATAGCCATCATGAATCAATCATGCAAAGGCTAAATAATAAAGCAATAAAACTGAAAACAAAAGGTGACATTCATTTTTCATTAAGAAAACACACTTGAAAAGAAACAGAAATGTAAGAAGGGAAAGACAAAAACAAGACTTAGCTAACTGAATGCATACTGTGAACACTCCTCTGAATATAACATTTTATATTTCTGATAGAACTGAAGCAGAAAAGTCATAAGTTAATATATTCACCAAGTAACAATCATTAAAAATGAAATCTTGAAAAATAGGATTTAAAGTATAATTATCTGCAACAGTTTTTCAAGTTAACAGTTGTAAACGATTCAGAAATTGCAAAGTTGATGAAAAAGGAAAGTAAAGGAACTGGGGAAGTCAGGATAAGATGAATGGAATAATTACTGGATAATGTTGATATAAAATGACAAATGGCGTAATAATTAGATTTGCAAATGGGAGTTTTAATGTAATTGCAGCTATGAGTAGAATGAAGCAAGGGAGTTTAAAGCAAGAAACATTGAAGATTTCAAGGGCAAACCATAATAAGCTTAATGGAAGCAGAAAGATGAATTGTGCTTTGCTTCAGTACAAGAATAGAAAAATAGCAGCCAAGAGACTCATAATCAGATCTGAAACCAGACAAGGTGAGTGGATGAAGGATTGGAATAAAAATTTAGTAGACAGGATGAGGAGAAAAAACAAGAAAAATAATGTTGAGATAATCTAGAAAAATGAAGCTAAAATAATTATTCTTATTGAAATCAAACTTTTTCATATTAAATTTATTCAACACAAATCAAAAGTGAGGCAATCAGACAACACTGAAAATAAAGATATTTCCAAATTGTTCTTTGAAATTGTGCAAAGACTCAAAATTTTAGAACCAAAACAATCAGATTAAATTATGTATTAAAATTGAAATGAAGATTTTGAAAAAGCTAAATTATTACAATACCTACCAACACATAAAAAAACATAGTTCACATTCACATTTGGAAGACTATAATTCTTGGCACCTCATCCAAACCATAAAGACGTCCATTTTGAGCTTCAGTAGACAGCCCACTCTAATCATAATACCAGTATACTGAACAGGAGGATATTTATTTTTTTTAAATTTACTTAGATATGTCTTATATATTAGCAAATACAGTTTATAAAAATAGGAGCCATGATGATGATGAAACAATAAGAAAATTGATAAACTAGCTGAATTATATTAATTTGCAATAAGCTCAAAGTTGAAGTTGTTTAATCTAAACTTTTTTGTGTAAATAAAATTGAGAAGCTAAATGTCAAATATTTTATCAGTCTTTTTGCTCTGGGGAATTTTCAGGGTATGTTTTATTTTATTCCAATTATTTTGTTCATTCCAACATATTACAATAGTAATTCTTTCTGTTGCAATTCTTGTTGTTCAATGTTGATAATCTCTAAATTTTATTAAACACAGGATTAAGGAGAAACAGAGGTTCAATAATTATGCCATCAAATAAGAATATATTTTAAAAACAAATCCTAGAAATAATTGGAAAAATAAACATGACGGACAAGAAGAAAACAAAAACAAAACAAAAAAGAAAAACTTACCTTTTCTGATTGTTCAATTTCCTTTTCTTCTTTACGTTTACGAAAAGCTTCTTTCTTGCTTCCTTTTGGAAGCAAATCATGTTCTTGTTTTAAAAGTTTCATATCTTGCTTCTGTTGTTCTTTAAAAATCTTCAATTCCTTATCCTGTAAATAATAATTTGTAGCAGCAAAAAACAAAAACAAAAAAAAACTTTCTTAATATAGCAATCAAAAGCTTTTGGTATTCAAGATAATAAAATAACCTTGGATGTTTACAAGAAAACTACTTTGTAATTTAAGCAGCCTGCATCCTAAGAATACAAGATGTTTTTGTTCTTATTCTAATGAGAGCTAATTTTATGCTGCAAACAATTATCATTATTCTACTTTTCACATCTATATTGCAGACAATGTGACACCATTTGAATACATTTGTGTTCATCTTTAACCAATTTAAGTGCCTAGCTGGATGATGTATGCGTTATGCAATAAGTAAAAAGTGTAACTTTGACAGCCATAGAATAAAGACAGAATTTAACATTGACTGACCAGGGAATGATTGTCAGAACTAGAAAGATGGAGTACTCTATCTCCCTAGTGGCAAATACTTTAAATTTTCCTTGAGCACCAATAGCGAGCCATGAATATGTGAATTTCAGACAAACATCAGCAACATGTGGAGGTTCAGGTTCATGTATGAGACAGCTGATAAGGATAGTAACTCTAAGGGGGAATGTATCAAATCACATCCCAATTCAACATTGGTGCCATTCAACGTATCAATCAATATATTGTACAAAGTACCTTTCATAGTTGTCATAGTCATAGTTGTGGACCAAAAAAGCTACCATTAATGACACCATGACATCAGTTAATATATGAGCCAGAGAACACTGAACCATAGAAGACTAGTACAATGTCACCTGGTCAGATGAGTCACATTTCTAGTTCTCTCAAGCAGATCGTAGTTTTTTTTTGTTTGTGTTTTTTTTTTTTAAGAGGCTAGAGTGTTGTGAAAGTTGATGATGGCTCTAATGTAGAAGTGTTTATATCGGGGTTTACAAAGACCACTAGGGAAACTGAAGCCTGTTTTGTCAGAGGTGACATGCACAGATCTTGTAGCAAACAATTTGTGCCATTTTATGCTCACCATATTTCCTGGTGTGATTGGTTTGTTCAAGCAAGATAATATAAACCCTCATTGTGCAAAAAGTGACACAAAACTGGTTCCAGAAACAAACACTCTGTAAACTTGTAGATTTAGCATCTTTTCCAAAGAGTCTAATATAAATATATATGGGATCAAGTAAATATTTGGCTTATTTCCAAATAGAAAACAGAAAATGAATACAACACAAATTCAAAAGACAATAAGAACAAGCAAATATTCAAATGCCAAAGTAGGTATAATAAAAAAGTATTAACTTTTAATAGATGTTAACTAGTCATTTTTTTACTTAAAAGTAAAAAGTTATCATTGAAAATTTAATTTACTATTTTCTAAAATCAAAATCTTTCTCAGAAGCTTTGGAATCCAACATAAAACATACACCAGATATTTCAAGAACTTTTAACAAAGCTTGTTAGAAGAAAGAATAAAAATAGAATGCCAAATTTTTTTATGACGTTACCCAAACAAGTATGGCTTCATCTTTTTCACATTCAGAAAACACTGGCAAAAATCATTGTTTTCTTTATTGATTTTAATATTAATTAAAAATTAGGTTCAATGGATGGATCAAGGAATGTTTTGTTTTCACTCATTCAGATCAATTACCAGAAAGGATTTTGATAAGATTGGCAAAAAGTCAGCTTCTGAGGTTATCTTTGCCAAGTCAATTTTCACCATGAATCTCAGGTGGAAATTAGTCAAATGATTGGTTAAATAAGGTCGCTTCCACAGAGAAAAGCACAATATTGCACACACACAAAAAAAAAAAAAGGAAATGAAACTAGCATTAAACAAATCAACAAGATTATTACCAAGACAAATCACATGTGAAGCCCTAAAATAAAAAGTGAAATTTTAAGATTTCCCTTGATATTAATTTGAAAGAAATATCCTACTTAACTATCTATATTTTAAACATTAAAAAAAAAGTAAGGTTCATATTAGATAAAAAAGATGAAACAACAACTTCTTATTTCATCATTTAGAAAGAGAAAGAAATATTATTTTCTGCTTGCTTATCTCAATGAGTGACTATTCTTCAATCGGTATATTGTACTACTTTTCATGTTTAAATTTTTAATTGTAATGTTTGGCATTTTTGTTCTTCAGTTGAAAATAGGCTAGAGTGTTCCTTCCTCTTCAAACTACTGAAAATCATTTTTGGTTTATTAATGCCCTTTAAAATGGCCAGGTTCCATCTCTTCCAAAACAATGTGTCCATTTGTTTTATATAAAGGATATTACCATTTCCACAGTGATTCTGATTATGTTTTTATTTAGATGATATAGCCAATCCTAAAATGATTGGTGGACAAGAAAATTGCAACAAATAGCAATTTTCATTCATCTTAATTCCATAAGTGATTCTAGTTGGATAAAAAAATACTGACTGTAAGGTCTTAAACAGCTGAAAGAAATTCAAACCAACCAACCAAATTGTATGCTATAAAAGATAGCATTAAAAATACAATTGCTAAAACTATCATTATGTATAGTTTTTGCTCAATTACTTTTCTCTACTGTTAAGCTATATTTGGCAATCAAATTTATATTGCATTAATGATCTTAATGGAAATTTTCTTATTAAATAGATGAATTAATAAAAATATCCTGTTTTTTTCTTTACCCTCATGTAAACATTTAATTCAAGTCCAGATTCCATAAAAGATGGATGAACATAACAGCATAATGTTAATACACTACAAAGTTCAAATATTGTAAATAGACAAAAGAATCTTATTGATAAAGCAAGAAAATGTCCTACAATAAAACAAAAATAAATGTCTGTGTTCTTATTGCATATAAAAGAAAAAGTTATTGACTATAGTGAGGCCAATGAGAGTATTGATTCAAACCAGAATATTGTTCTTGCTGATTTTTACTGTTTACACAAACATGAAACAATTTTGATAATTAAAAACACAAAGAAAAACCTGTTTTTTAAGTAATTAAATGTTAATTCATCTGTTTTTGGCAGATCAAAATGACATATAAGGACAATGTAAAAAGTTTTTTCTGCTGTTTGTATTTGACTAACAGTAGCAAATTAGATTTTACTCCATCCAGCAAACAATACTTGAAAAAATTAGTTTTCATCAACACAAGTTACATTACCTGTTCTAGTTTTATCTTTTTAGCTGCCATTTTTGTTTCAAATGCTTGGTTCAACTCCACTTTCTCAGCTTGTTGTTTCTGCTGACGAGTTAAGGTCTCCAAGTCTTGTTCATAGGTCTTCAAGAGTGTCTAAAAAGGATCAAGAAATCAACATTAGAATAACACTAACCACATGCTTAAAAATAGAAAACATGTCCTTGTTTTGTGGCAAAAGTAGGTATACAGTAAAAATTATGTCAATATTAGAATAGTGGTTCTAGGATTCATTTAATTTGTACAGAGTGAAATTGTTTTCCAAAATGCTAATCATAAAATCAAAATACTTATTAACTGTTTTAGAAATCTTGTTTAATGACCATCTTGAAAACAGAAAAAAAAACACTCAGTCAATTTTTTAGAGACTTTAAAAGAGTGTGTGATAACCAGTTTATTTTCACAGGAATTTGAATTTTTAAAGCATCTTATGGCAATCAAAGTTCTTAATATAATTTTTCTTTTTTTCATGTTTTTAATTTGTCTATGAAATTTAACTTTTTATGGTTTTATTTTTATTTTAATGACTGGATTTAATTTTAGGCACATGAATGTTATAAAAAAGAAAACCAGAAGCAACTACCTTGGAAAGATGGACAAAAGTAGAGATGACATTCAAAGCCAAATGATGCAAAATACTTCACAAATACATAAGTAAACATACATTTAAAACAAAAATTCCAAAGATGAAATTATGGACTATGCTTGTATATTGACAGTCTTTAATACAACTTAAATATCTATGGCAGATAATTCCCAGATGTAGTATATTACAAATTCTTTACACTTTCCCAATAGATCAACTTCAAATGACAGCATGCAATTTGTTTATATATACATTGAGTGCTGGTGTTAATAAAATAGTGCTCTATGTGAAATAACAATAAATTATATATTAATAATAATTTTTTTATGAAAAATAAATTATATATATAAAATTGTCTAGTTTACATGAACAGTAAATTTGTTTATGATTTTTTTTTTATTTAGAAGAAATGCTGTCATACAAAATGCAATTATCCTGTTGGCTAACCTTGATAGAAATCAAAGTGCATAAATTCACCTTGTTTCCACATTGATAATAATGCCCAAGAATAACTATTTGCTGAGAGACTAACATATCAGAGACCAAATATTGATAAATTTGGAAATTCCTTCAGAAAAAAATCACTCAAGATGACTGATGAGAAAATAAAAATGTTGGAAATACTCTAATTACATTAGAAGAGGGAAAAAATACAAAACTTGTGAAAAGCATCTTTCAATTGAGTTAGTATTGATTGTGTCCAGAAAAGAAAATATTCCAGTGACAAAATCAGCAGCAGCCATACATTTTATTGTACAAGTATATGGAAAACACCACCATTTCCATTGCATGGCAACAAAAGAACGAAATATCTTTTTACAAGAAGTCTCAGAATTCAGTTACAGTCAAGTTTCATTCTTGCAAATAATGGGAACTAAAATCAATTAGTCAATTACAAGTAGGTTTGATTTATTCTTATCAAATAACTTCCACAAGTAGATATCATGATTATCACCCAGAAAAGAAAGAAAAACCTATCAAAATCTATATGAACATTCCATAAAGTTCAAGTTACTGAAGATGAAATTTTGCAACAGAGCTATTTTAATCCAAAAGGAAGCCACACAGCTGGTTATCTGCATTGTAAGCCTTTACTTAAATATATACATTTCAGGAAGCAGTAAGAGTAAAACAAAAAACCCATGCCTTATAAAACACCAGGAATAGATGAATCCATTTCACTATACCACAAAAGAATACAAACATCTTAGATATTTACAAAGTACTGCAATTACAATTTCAGTAACCATTCACAACTATATATATATATATATATAAAAAAAAAACTCATTATCATAAGCAGGAAACTGATTCAAGGAATATCTATTGAGAACTAAACATTAGTCTATAGTGCTCTTCAAACAATAAGCAACATGCCACTTAAAATACAAATAAATCAATCAAATTTTCCCATTATTAATGTAGAAATGAAAGGATCTAATATATATATATATATATATATATATATATATGTGTGTGTGTGCGTGAATTGAATTGATTACGATTCTAATATAATAAATTATAACCATGGAATATTAGTGTTTGAGCCTTTTATATTATATTCTTGCTCTGTCCTGGGTATTGAGCTCTACCTGGATTCTATCCTCTTAGAAATTATATATATATATATATATATATATATATACACACACACATAAATTAGCAATCAAAACAAATATGATGGAATAGAATTTGATAATATATTGTCAGAGTGTGTTCAAACAGAATTGTGCTATATAAAATAACAGTGACTGTATCATCAAACATCTCTTGATTATTCATTTTGATATGTAAAAGTATAAATATAACATTTTAAGAGAACAAAAGTAATTCTGAAGAACATTTGGAAGTAGTGAACATTAATAACAACCAAATGTGGATTTTTGTTCATATTTTGATATTTATGAACATCAATTCAAGATCACTGGAAATTAATGAATTTATATGGCTCCATTTTAAAATAATCTTATTATCTAAGAAGGCCCATTTTGAGAAAATCCTGGTCATAGACAATCAAATGTTTTATCTTTCATTTTCTTTTTAAAACAATTATTCTTTTTAAATTTCCTGTATAAATCAGTTTTAATCATATATTGCTTCAAAGAGGATTCAAATAACAATTTAATTAATCCCAATTTCTTGCTTAGACATATGAGAGAGCGAAAGACAAGCGCCTGTAACTAAGAAACTGTATGTATATCATTTACTTTTAGGAAACATTAATCACAGCACAATGATCAGTCAAGCAACTGCACTTGCAAATTTTTTCTAGCCAGTTATAATTTACAATAAAAAGGGCACAACTTTTATGTTCCTGATAAAAGATAATAGCTTTCTTTATATTCAAAGTGTGATGAGTAAATTGTCACCATTTTATATTTTTAATTTTGTGCATGCTCATCGTTTGTTTTTGATTTTGTCAACTGCAAAGTATAGTAGAGTCAGTTGGATGCCATCTGTGAGAAAAAGAGCAATATGATGCAATTCACTCCACCAGAAATTTGAAAACGGCATGCTGTACTATGTGGCATTTCTCACCAGAAGCTCCAATACAAAAATTTCAGAGTGTTTGGATGTCAATCTGAGGACAGTGCAGAGGATTTCAAAAGAGTTGAACAAGTCTAATGGTGATTGTGAAGTTGTTTAGAGTGATCTCTAGTGATGAAAAGGTGTCTTCATTCATCTTCCCATAGGGCCTCAGACTCAACAGAGAGGACTACATCAAGTGCCTTGAGAAGGTAATGCTATTCTGAGCCAAGACGGAGGCTACTGAAAGATCCTATATCTGGCAACAAGACTCTGCACCATGCTACACAAGCAGGAGAACGCAGTCATGACTGTCAGACAATTTCTGCAACCATATTTCCCCTTACATATTGCCACATAACTCCCCAGACTGTAACACCCTTGATTATTATGTGTGGGGTGCAGTTGAGCAAGAGGCAACAAAACTACTTGTAACACCAAAGATGAACTGAAGGCAAGGATTATGGCAGTATTCACCAACTTAAACAAGGAGACCGTCCAGAAGAGTTGCAGGAGATTCCAAAATCATCTGGCAGTTGTGGTTGAAGCCAATGACAATTTTATTGAATAAATTTACTATTTACTATTTCAAGATATTTTTTCTGTAATTTTGGTAAATATATCTGTTAAAATGAGATTTCATTTTTGCATAATTTAGACGACTATTTATCCATCGCACTCTGTACAATAAACTTAACTGTAAAGAAAACATGGAATATATCAACTTTAATCAGAAAAGGAAAATCTATTACATAAAGATCATTTCCATCCCCAAATCAACATGTCATATTCATTAAATCGATAATTAAATATTAATACTTCAGTTTTAAATAATGTAATTAAATAAACTTCATACCTAAACTTTTCTACTGTAAGAAATGGTCAGTAAGAAACAAAATAACAATAAAAGTTAAATATGTAATTTTCATTTCTGGCTTAACAAAAATCTTAGCATGCAAAATACTGGAAATTTATATCCAATCAGCATTTTGTGTCTTCTCTCAAAATCTTTGACAATTATTGTAATAAGTAACAAAAATATATCAGGTCATCCTATATGTCCAAAATCTGATAGTGACATATAGAATACAATGCCTAAATGATAACAACAAATGCTTGTATATGTTCTTACAGTTTTAAATGGTTGTTGTCACAGTACAATACAACTAAGTTATTAACTTGACCCTCCTAAAGGAGCAAATAAGATATGTAATACTCTCTAGGAGAGAAGCAGAATTAATCCTGCAGAAGCAACAAAATCTTTTTACTGGGGATCATCAGACCAACTGACATACCTGCTTTTGTCTGAACTTGATAGAAAAAGTGTTGTTATCTTTGAAGAATTTGCTCAAATCAAAAACTGAATTCTTAACATTCAATGGTTGACTGTCAACCTGGAAAGGTTCATAAACTTAGAAAATAGATTCCTCCCAATTTTACAGATTTTAATGAAAAAGTGAGAATGGAGATCTCACTAATTTTTAACAGACTGATTATGGAAAATGGGTACTTTACAAAAATAGGACACAAAGAGTAGCTTAGTAGTGAGACAAACAAGTTAAATCACTACACAAAATGGAATTCCATTGAAGAAAGGATTTAAATCTTTTGTAGGATTGTGGGATCCAGTCAGCATTACAGCAAGCATCTATTGCCAGTAGGTAGAGCAGTGTTTCTCAACCTTTTTTTTTTTTTTTTTTTTTTTACTTCAGGGCACACTTGTAGAATAACTAAAACACTGGGATGCACTTTAAATTTTAACAAGGAAAAATTAGCCATGAAATTTGAAAATAGGAAAATAATAATGATGTCTCCTGAAGTCAGCATTTATTTAGAAAACATTATGTTATGATGATCAAACTTAGTAGCTGTAGATATTCTATGT